CACCTGCCCATTTTAATACCGTTCCTTTTCTATTTGCCTGCAGATCGTTGATAAAAATGCGGACAGCCATCAGACTCAGTCCTGGGGCAGGCAGAGCTGCCCCCTTCCTCCCTGCTCAGCGCCGGTTTCCCACCAACAGCCCTGTCTGAGATCCATCTTTCGGGCAGTTCTTAATCCATTTAAGATGTGCTTGCCTGGTATTGTGTGGCACTACCTTCTTCATCAGCATGACATGCAAAACTAAGTTAACTGTATTAGAAACCCTAAGTCTATTACCTCCACTCAGTCACCTTTATCAAGCGGCTTGTAATCCTTTTAAAGCACAAAATGAGGTCTGTTTGACGAGACTTACACAATGGTTTTGGTGGGTATTAGTATTGGAGCTCTTGTTAATTTTTTATGAAGTGAATCCAGTGTCAGCTTTATTGCATGCATGTGTGAATGCGTGGGGCTGCCGGTGGCGCTGGCTGCCTGTATTTTACAGCAGCTTTTGTGACCAAGATTGGTCGCCTCTACAAACCACAACATTTTTTTTCTTTTCTTCTGTATTTATTTTAAGAAAGCTACAGCTGCAAATCACCAATAATTGCATTGGCTTCACTGGAGCGACTGAAGTTCCTAACTGCCTCTGAAAATGTTCTCCCCGTTTTAAAAATGCTCGTGATGGGGCAAGTCTTGAAACCTTTTAATGCATTTCACAGTTCTTTCACAGAAGGAAAGATGATCAAATTCAGTCTTCATATTGTGCGTTGCTCTGCGTAAGGTGGTGTGCAGCACCCAAACTGATATTTGAAAGCTGCAGTAGGAAAGTTTGCAGTCGAGAGGGGAAGGAAGGAGTAATGATGTTCAAACAGGATCAATAGTGCTGATTCTGGAAAAGATTTTCAGAATTGCCTGCGTGATTTAACAGCCTTAGTTCTGTTTTCTGAAACAGGGTAGACATGTAAGGAGTTATTCGATGGGCATGTTTTCTCTGAAAATTAAGTATCAAATGCATAAACAAATGGGCTCCGGGGTCAGGGGCAGGTAGTGTTCACAAAGGCTGCCTCTAAGCCAGGAGGCCGATTTTCCCTCCGAGAGGGAGGGTTTAGTGGAGGACGAATCAGAGCACACACCTAAAATATACGATTTCAATTCCTGAAGCTTCCCATCGCACTGTAACCTCCTATGCGATGATACTGTCCTTCCTGTTGACAGCATCTTGCGTGTGTCTCCCCCCAAACACAGTGTGTCACCCCCCCAAACACAGTGTGTCACCCCCCCAAACACAGCAGTGCTGTGATAATGTCAACCATTCCTGTGGACAAGCGGTCACTGGTCAGTGCTAGATCTGTGCTCAGCTGCATCTTAGTGAGATGGAGCAGCCGTGAGCCAGGTAAAGTGCCCTGGGACGGATCATCTGCCTGTGCCCTGTCCCCACCTGGCCAAGTGCCTCCTGGCCCATGGTCCCATGGGGGATGTTTGCTCTGCAGGGTCCCTCTGGGCACAGCCACAGTGTGCCCGCTGCCTCCAGCTGGGACGGACTCCTGAACCAATGCTGCTCTGATTAAAGAGGGTTTGGCCTGACTTTTGGTCTCCCCCCTTGTTGGAAGAGCAAGTCATGCGACACTCAGAGAGGAGACCATCTCCCTGCTCGTCACACACCGTGTTTCCTCCCCATTCCCCTCCAGCTGCTCCCGAGCACCTGGAGCGAGACCAAAGGATGCATCTGTTCCAATGTCGAAAGCGGTTTCTGTTGCTATTAGCCACACTCAGCCCCAAATTGAACGTGGCAAGCAGCTGGCATGCTCAGAGCTAGTGTGCTTGCAGACGTATGTGTTTTGACGGGAAATGCTGCTGCCTTTGAAATACGATTCTTAGAAAAGGGAAAGAAGGTAATTCCCCACCTAAATAAGAAGGCTCATCTCTCTCCTGGACAGTGAGGGATGCATGGCAGTGCCCTGTGTGGCAGCCTGCCTGATCTCGTATACCCCCTTTTTTTTTTGCCTCTAAAATGATCAGGTTGTAAGGAATTAAAAGATATTAGTTTGGTTCAAGCAATAATCTCTGCTCAACCTCACTGCAATGGAAGAGGAGGCTCTGCTGCCTTCTGTGGCTTCGTTACGGCAGCGAATTGCTCGCAGTTACTGACTCATTATTTGAAATTCACAAATCTGGAACGTGTGAACACTCTCTTGCTATTTAACTTTCTTAAAAAAAAAAAGGTTGAAACTCTTAAAGGATTTGAACACGTCATGAGAGAGAGTTCGCTTGTTTACTTCCCTTCCTGATGGCTTCTCTCTGCACCTTTCAAAAGAAAAAAAAAATAAAGCAGGACTAATTAATAGTGCTAAAGCAGTTCGTCAGGCCACCATTATGCGTTTGAGGTGAGAAGCTGTACGACGCGTGGTCTCAGTTCAGACACATGGGGAAGCGCTCGCTATTTTTCCCCAGGTCTCTGAAAAAAGCAGTGCGGGTGCGTCCTGTGGCTTGAACTGGGGTCGCAGAGGTAGCCAGATGGGCTATGCTGCCTGCAGAAAACAACTTGCCCCTGTTGAGGGTGGATTTTTTTGCCTGTCTGTCAGTCTTTCACAGAAATCCGTTGCGGCAGGATTTCCTTGTATATACCCAGCCCAGCACCCATCCCTGCTAGGCTCCTGCCCGCTTTCCTTCTTGGTCCATCACCAATGAGCAGCGGGGTTAGGCAAACAGATTTGTTGGCTTGAAGTCTACTCGTTCAAATTCAGAATATGCTGATATGACCAAGAGGGAAAAATGAGCCTTTGGCAGATCTTTCTATCAAAATGGACCTTTTATCTGCATTCCAGTGCTGCCGGTCAAGGGCAATTACACATAGAAATGCTGCGAGAGCCGGCACAGAAATGGGAGCCTGAACTGCAGTTGGATTCCCATGGAAATTGATGTTATGCAGCCATGACTTTATCGAAGTACTTACAATCAAACAAGTTTTTCTGCAGTTAGATAAACATCAGCACGTTATGAAACTGCATATGCTGAGACTTCAGCTGGCATCAGTTGTTTTGGGCCAGTTTCACTACTTTGGCTAGCAGTCTGGCCTCGTCCTACAGTTTCTCAGACTGCGAGTTTATGTCTCTTCAAGTGAGTTTGTGAAATATCTGTCACTGCACAATGTGGCGTGCATGAAGCAGTAAAAAATCACACCATTTCTTGGGATGTGAGCTGTGTGCATTGCTCTCAATCCAGCTTTGGCTCAACTGGCACAGTTAAGTTTAAGAATCTGCAAGCAATGTAGGAAATGCTATGTTCTGCAGAAAGCACTCATTTGTTTTCCATCCAGGATATTCTGAGAGAGGATGTGGTACAGCATGGGGCTGGGGGACAGCGGGATGGTCTGCTGGTGAAATGGACATCCAGGCAGGAGTTATGTTTCCCAGCTGTGCTGGTTTGGGCTGGGATAGAGTTAATTTTATTTATAGTAGCTGGTATGGGGCTATGGTTTGGATTTGTGCTGGAAGCAGCGTTGATACCACAGGGATGTTTTTGCCACTGCTGAGCAGTGCTGACACAGAGCCAAGGCCTTTTCTGCTCCTCACCCCACCCCACCAGTGAGGAGGCTGGGGGGGGGCACAAGGAGCTGGGAGGGAACACAGCTGGGACAGCTGACCCCAGGGATATCCCATGCCATATGATGTGATGCTCAGCATATAAAGCTGGGGGGAGAAAAGAAGGAAGGGGGGACATTTGGAGTGCGTTTGTCTGCCCAAGTCACCGTTATGTGTGATGGAGCCCTGCTGTCCTGGGGATGGCTGAACACCCGCCTGCCCATGGGAAGCAGGGAATGAATTCCTTGCTTTGCTTTTCTTGTGTGTGCAGCTTTTGCTTTACCTATTAAACTGCCTTTATCTCAATCCACAAGTTTTCTCACTTTTATCCTTCTGATTCTCTCCCCCATCCCACCTGGGGGAAGTGGCTGCATGGGGCTGAGTTGCCGGCCACGGTTAAATCATGACACTGGCAGAGACATGGGGCTCCGTAGGCATACAGGACTTCAGCTGCTGTCCGGGTTCCCTCTATATAGTGGAAATATTCTTCCCGTAGCAGGTAGACATGTGATCAGACTGGAACAAGGGATATATAGTTACTTGGAGTATATACAGTTACTTGGAGTAAGTAATTTTAAAGACGTCAGAAAAAAACCACTTTGTGAACATTCCTTCTAAATTATACTTCCCCTAGTTGGATATGTTTGTATGTTACTGTCTTTGCTGTGCTGGCAACCAGTGTTTATTTTCTTAGCATGCTAATATCACCAGTCAAAGATGCCCATTTGCAAGACACAGGCCCATTGGTGATCTTTTCCAAGACCAACTGGTCTATGAGGCAAGATGTTCAAGGCTTTGTAGCAGCCCCTGTGAGGGTAATAGAATCATAGAATGGTTTAGGTTGGAAAAGACCTTTAAGATCATCAAGTCCAACTGTAAACCTAACACTAAACCATGTCCCTAAATGTGGAGAGAGCCTCAGACTAGGTCTGCAACTCTCAGCTGTGGTTTGTAGTGTTATATTACAGTTAGGCTGCTGCTCTGCCCTCTTCTTAGCTACCATACAGGTGGGTGAGACGAGTCTGTGCTGGCTTTCAGGTGCCAGGTGATTTTAACTGAGTTCAGGGTGTAAGAGGTGGGTGAGGAGAACTGTATTACAAGCCCTCATTTTCACAAATTGCTTTTGGATGCAGTCTGTGGGTAGACATTCCTTTTCTAAAACCTTGTTTTGCCAATGGAGACAAGCTGAAAATCAGGAGTTGTCTTCTGAGATGAGGTTTCAGTGCGGCCACATCAGTGAAAAACCAGGCACTGGTAAACATCTCAATTTTGTAGCCAATGTTGGTAGTTCAGCTCTTGTGTTCCTGGGGCTGGGACATTTCTGTTTGGTTGCCTTTACTGACAGTTCACTCTTAATTAATTAAGCAGCAAAAAATTAATGGAAATTAATTGCGATTAATTTCTCCATTCACATGTTGGAAATTATTGTCTCCCCAGCTTTCTCCTGTGCCTCTGGCGAGTACCTGGAGATGAAGAACCAGGTGTGCAGCAAATGTGCAGAAGGGACGTACTCACTGGGCAGCGGGATCAAGTTTGATGAGTGGGATGAGCTGCCGGCAGGATTCTCCAACGTGGCGACTTTCATGGACACGACAGTTGGCTCGGCTGAGAATAGAGCCGACAGCTGCAACAAGTGAGAAGTTCTGTTTGCATCTGGGTTACGCAGCCATAGGTAAACCTGAGACAGCTCAGCAGCACAAAGCCAGCTTAATGACTTATCTAAGCTCTCCAGAGGGTAACCAGCCCCAGTAATGGCAAACGAGAGTGGCTGGAAAGGGAAATTTTTTGCCATCTCTTTGCTGTCATCACAGTCTCTTCAGGCTCATCAGCATCTAGTGAGTCTGCAACCAGCCTGGAGCTGCTCTTATTTGTAGCTGGAAAGCTCCAGGGTCATGGTAGAGTAAATGTGGCTAAAAGGTACTTTCACAGCCTATTTAGAGACCCATGGTGGTTGCAGAAGGCTCTTTCGGAGTATAATTGAAAGTATGTTAATCCTATGGATAATAAACCTTTCCTATGTAGGCTGGGTCCTAAATTTCTAGTACCATTATCTTTTCCCACACATGTTTTTAATGAAAAGTATTATATTTACATGAGGAATAAATGGGAATCCAGTAATAAAGTTATAAATTCACTGCAGTTAGCTACTGTGGGGTTCTGGGTTCTTTGTTGAGTAACGTGTTTTTGTATGGTAGTGTAAGAAAAGTCTCCTCAGTGTCTGTCATCTCAGTTCTTTTGTTTATGTTCATCAGCTCATCATGGACGCCTCGAGGGAATTACATAGAGTCGAACAGGGATGATTGTACAGTTTCTCTCATCTACGCTGTGCACCTGAAGAAATCTGGTTCTGTCTTCTTCGAGTACCAGTATATTGACAACAACATCTTCTTCGAATTTTTTGTAAGGCCTTTTATATGGTGAATCCACCCTTATATTGTAAGAATTTAGTCCAGATAAAGACCATTGGAAACAGCCTTTTCTCCCTTCACATTCCCCATATGTCCATAGCTTGTTATTGCTGAACAAGACAAAAAAAAAATCTTCTCTTTCTGTCACTTATGCTGCCGTTTGGCATTTATTTCATCTTCAAAACTCAGGCTAAACTGATTCTATCTACCATGTGCTGGGATTTTTCCATTAGGGGTCATGACAGCCCCCATTAGTCCAGCCTTTTACGAGACAACTGTTGGTGGTAGATGCTTCAGTTTGGGGGAGTTTGATTGAGATGCCTTTTAGGGACTTGACATTTTTAAAAAGACTTCTTCCAAGGTAGGCATCCAGAACCTGAGGTGCTCCAAGACATTAGTGTGTGGAAACCTTAGCTTTAGTTTTAGGTCAATTTGGGTCATAGCAATTAAGATGAAAAGAAAAGCAGGAGAAGAGACAAAAGGGTGATCCTTAAAAAAAAAAAAAAAAAAAAAAAGCCAGAAATGTCCTCCAGAGAGATTTAGGAGTAAAAATTCAGCTGACTTTCAGTAGGAATTAGGCTCTGAGGACGTGTCTGCACTGTGAAATGGAGGGGCTGGGGGTCATTAGCTCTGAAATGGGAGCAGCCTGGCTGGGCTTGTGCCACGCTGTACCCAAATTACTAAAACAGTCTGATCAGCAGGGACCTGAATGGGAAGGACAGCCCTGCCCATGTGGATGGACTGGTTGGGGTCCAGGGAGCAGGGGGTACCCAGCACCACGCTCCGCAGTGCGGTGCAGATGCTCCACATCACTGGGATGCTTTGGAAGGTTTGACCAACAGGTTGCTTTCCCTGGCATGTTGTTCCTGCCATTTGGGACAGAAAAAGAATTAATGAAAGGGAAACTCAGAGCAGGAGATGACTGGAATTTTTCAATCATCTCCTCTGTTACTGCCTCTCTCCCTGTCTGGTGAGCTCTGGTTTTCATCTGAAAAACACAGCTCATGTTACCTCACAGGAGTGCGAAGCCTTAGCTGGTGTTGGTTAATGTTTCTTGAAGCTTGGAGAAAAGTGTGGAGTATCCTTATCCTTAATAAAGAAGGGAAAGGAAGACAAAAATCACCTCTTGGAGGCACCCTCTTGCTGCTACCTCAGTGCAATCTATTGCGCTTTGATAGCAGACAGTGCAGCCAATATTATTTAGCCATTTCACTTTTATATTAGACTATCCTGCCTTCTTCATGGGAAGAAAGCAGCAAATATGCTTTCTGCTGTCAGGTGGATGTACCAGGATGACGAATCTTAGCTCCAGTTGCTTGACTGACTGATCTACTCCTGCAGTGGGGCAAATACATTGTTTCTCTGAGCACTGGCTTTGAAAATGGCTTTTTGAATATTACTTTTATCCATATCCCACTCATTCGCCTCCTTCAATTTATCGTTCCCTGTTCAAGCAGCAGTAAGTGGTGGAGTCCTTTACGGAAATGCCCATGTAAATAATTCCCAGTCAGCCTCACTATTTCAGGGAAACCATATTTAAGACTCCTCTAAAAGTCTATTTTTTTTCTCCAGCATGTCTTTGTGCTTAAATATATTTAACAATGACGCTTTAGCTCTGGACAGTGCCATTTCAGTGGCAGTATCTTGCAGGCTGCCAGGAAAACGTGAAGTTTTCGGGCTCTCCAGGTGCAGATGGCTGCACGGCTGGTCTGAGGGGAAGCGAGGAGTCGTCCTCAAACATGGGAAGCAAGCGTGGACTCTTCTTGTTAGAGACCAGTGCTTTTGCAGCCTGCCCTTCCCAGGCTCTTTTTACATATCAAAGCCCTTTACACTTTGTTAGAAGAGACTATACATTCTTACCTCCTTTTTGCAGATGGGAACTGAGGCACAAAGATGCTGTAGCTCAGATTGCACAAGCTAATTAGGGATCTACCTTCTACTTAGGTGCTTCTTCTCACCTCTTTTCCTCAGTGCTGTTGATCTACATGGGAAGTAAGGGCACAGATGCTTTGGAGGATGTGGGGTTATGCGACTTATTTCAGTCCTGACGTGAAGCAACTTTGAGGAAGATGCTTGACCCCAGGTCTTCTGAAAGCATTCAACTGGCCTTTGTCCCTGGTGGAATAAAAGCTGAGTAATTGAACTCGTGCCTCGAAGGGACTTGATACTTTTTCTTCAGAGAGTTATGAGAAGAGTGAAGTGGACTTCTGTGAGGCCATGCACCAAACCCTGCTGCAAGGAAAGGCTGCTGAGCTGTGCTGGACCCGAGTGAGGGACAGTCAACCTCACACCTCTGCCAGGCCAGACTCTCCATGGCACGTGGATAATGTTACTCTCATCCCTCGTCAGGTCAGGTGGCAGGGAGCCAAAGACATAGCAGATATTGGCTGCAGGGAAAACAGTTTGTCTCCTAGCTTTGTCCACTCCTACCTTTCCTCTGACTTAGAAGCCCATGGCCTCTGGATTTTAGAGAACTGGGTCTTGGTGGGCTCAGGAGAGGGAGGAGGTAACGAAGACAGGATGCTCAGCATCTGAGTCTGACCAGATAGCAAGAGGACAAGGCTGAGATCTTCTCCTCATGCTCTTTTTTTCCATCTGCATCAGAGGTGGTTTTTGGAGGCACTGTTAAGCTGGTAGCAGGTTTTGAAAGTGGTGTTTTCGGTTTTGTTTTTTTTTTTTTTTTTGCCACAGATAAGGCTGTCCTAAATACAAAGACAGCAGGAACAAAGCTGAATCTTATCATTCCCTGCCAGCAGTGATTGTGCTGACAGAGAGATGCATCTGATCGTGGTCACTGTTCTTGTGTTTTTGATTAACAGATACAAAATGACCAGTGCAAAGAGATGGAGTCCACGGCAGACAAGTGGGTGAAGTTAACAGACAACGGGGAATGGGGTTCTCATTCTGTAAGTATGCAAAAAATTCCTTCATGAAGCTTTTTTCCTATTTATAAATGTCTGTGATTTCCTCTGAGCAGAGAGCAAATAAGGGCCAGACCCTGTGAATGCATGTGAAGAAGCACAGCTTTCCTAATACTGTGGGCAGAGCCACTGAGTTCTCTAAGGGGCTGATCCCAAAGCAAATGATATAGATGCGAGACTTTGTATTGATTTCCCTGGGCTTTGACTCAAGTGCTTTATGAGTTTAAATAGATTTATGCAAATCCACACACCACAGTCACTCTGCATGATTGTAATTGAAATCTTCTACAACAGTTGTTTGCTCACGAGAACGCAAGATTATTCGCTCTTGCTCAGCAGAGTGGTGGGAATGGGGTGTGTGTGGAGGCAGGCAGGACGGGCATTTTATTCTCAAATGTGTGCAGAAGAGCTGGACCACACTCAGCTTGTGCTCTGTGGGGACTTACCCAGTTGAAGAGCAAGCTGGCAGCCCCAGGGTGGCTCCTGCAGCCCCGATAGGAGCGTGTCCACCTTGGGAGCAGCAGCCCTTTGGCTGGCCTGTGACCCCAGCTGGCTGAGTTTGCTCGGTGCACAGATCGCGCGTAGACCAACTCATGGTGACACCTGCCTTCCACTATACCCTCATACACCATCATACCCTAATTTCCAGAGCTGTGCCAGCAAAGGCCCGGCATAGGTGACATCATGCCAGAAGAAAAAGGCTTTTTATGGGCACAGACAGCAGCCTGGTCTCTGTTTTCCATGGTCTGCTAATCCTTCTGGAGGAGTAACTGTATTCCTGAGCCAGCTCTGGTTGGCAGTGCCTGTTAGCTCAGGTGCAAGCCCTGTGCAAGTCACATTGGGAGGCAGGAGAACTGGGTGAGGAGGGGTGAGTGGCACAGGCTGAGAGGTAGATCCAAGGCCAGGGCATCGACTTGGGTGAGCTGAGAGATGTCTGCATGGGAGATGGTGGGATCTGAGCTCTTGTCCGGGATATGCAAGTGTCTCCACTGACTGTGAAGGTTGCTTGGATCCTTGGATGAAGTGTAGACATGCGAGCTGGGTGAGATGATTGTTCTGGCTCTCCTCAAGGTTTTTGTCTGCATTGCAAACCCTGCCCTGGCAGCTTCTCTGAGCCCAGTTTTCCAATTGCTGCAGCCTCTGCTTTCAGCATGCTGGTCCTGCTGCACCAGAGCTGATGTTGAGTATCTCTACACCACACAACGTGATGTTTAATTCAATATGGTCCCAGTTTCTGCTGTTACCTGCGATAACCCAGCTCTCCTCTGCCCCCCTGGATATTAGATGTTTGGGGAGTGGGAGATACAATATACTGTATCTCCACTTTGCCGAGTTTTTGGACTCTTTATCCTGGGTGAACAAAAACTGTGGTCCTTCCAGTCCTGTAGAGCACTAATGTAATCTCATTTTCCTGGACCCTTATGCTTGTAGAGTTTATCCCTCTTCTTGTGTGAAAATATAGCACCTTCAGGCCACTGTGTCGGCAGTAGGCATCTTGTACTGGGCTAGTAGATATGGCACAGCTTTGTAGATCAGGCAGGGTCTTGGTAAACCTGCTGCTTTTAGTATGTAGCTGGCTGAATATGAGCCAGCAGTGTGCCCAGGTGGCCAAGAGGGCCAGTGATATCCCAGCTTGTATCAGGAATAATGTGGCCAGCAGGAGCAGGGCAGTGACCATGCCCCTGTACTCGGCACTGGTGAGGCTGCACCTTGAATACGGTGTTCAATTTTGGGCCCCTCACTATAGGAAAGATGTTAGGAATATATATATATTACTATATATGTTAGGAATATATATATATATCTTTACATATAGGAAACATGTCCAGAGGAGAGCAACAAAGCTGGTGAGGGGTCTGGAGCCCAAGGCTGATGGGGAGCGGCTGAGGGAACTGGGGGTGTTCAGCCTGGACAAGAGGAGGCTGAGGGGAGACCCTACTGCCCTCTACAACTGCCTGACAGGAGGGGGTAGTGAGGTGGGGGATGGTCTCTTCTCCCAAGTAAGAAGTGATAGGACAAGGGGAAATGGCCTCAAGTTGTGCCAGGGCAGGTTTAGATTGGACATTAGGAAAAATTTTTCACCAAAAGGGTTGTCAAGCACTG